CCCCAGGCTCAGCACCCCCAGACTCCGCACCCCCAGGCTCAGCTCCCGCAGCAGCACCAGAGTCACCAGTGACCTCGACAGGCTCGACCGCGTCTACCTGGGACACACCTGAAGGGGCAGGACCCTGAGGGGGGAGGGGGACTACCGGGGGGGGACCTGGTACCAAGAAGAGCGGGGGTGGGGGGAGGGACGGAGTGCGGTAGGGGAAGAGGCGGTAGTAGGGTACCGACTCGTCGAACGTGACGTCCTGGGAGGACAGAACACGTCGAGAGGTGGGGTGGTAAAACTGCCACCCAGGGGCGTCGGGGGGGAACCCCAGGAAGACGCAGGGAGAAGCACGAGGGGACAGCTTGTCCGCAGACAGGTCGCGAACAAACGCCCGAGATCCCCAGACCCGGAACGCCGACGCATCGCCAACCTTCCCCGTCCACAGCAGGGCTGGGGAGGTCTCCGGTCGAGAGACCCTGGGGTGGAGGTTGATCTGGTGCGCAGCGTACCTGACCGCAAACGGCCACAGAAAATGGGGAGCAGCCGCATGCATCATGGACGTACGAGCGACGTCCATGACCATGCCAATGCGGCGCTCAGCAATCCCATTCTGCTGTGGTGAGTCCGGAAGCGTGAAGGTCTGACGGATGCCTCGCGCACGACAGTAGGCACTCAGGAGGCCAGAGGAGAACTCTCCGCCTCTGTCCGAGTGCAGACGCAAAACAGGGAAGTCAGAGCCAAAGCTCCTCCGAAGCTGGAGACGAGCTGCGCGGATCCAGTCGATCAACACCTCAGTGACCTCACCCTTGCTGCGCAAGGGGAAGACTGTGGTGTAACGCGAGTAGTCGTCAACCACCAGCAGGAAGTAGCGCTCCTGACCCTGTCCACGGACGCGGGCTGGGCCCCACACGTCCATGTGAAGCGTCTGCAACGGGGCCTCTGTCGGAGGAAACTGGGAGGAGTGAGGGGCAGCACGCTGGCGCCCCTCGACACAGGGGACACAGGTAGGGCCAGGGCCCGGAGGAAGGGGAGGGAGAGACCGGGGAAGACCAGACACAAGGACTCGCGAGGCCATGCCTCTGAGCCGAAGCAGAGAGGGGTGGCCAAGGCGGTGGTGCCAGAGGAGGGTCTCGTGAGACAGACGACGACACGAGCAGGGGGCAGACTCAGGACCAGACCTGGACGCTGCAGCAAACACCTGACCAGACGAAGGGACCCTACCAGACTCAGCACCTGGAGGAGAAGCAGTGGTCAGTGTGTACAGGCTCGAACCTGGCCGACGTGTAAACGTAGCCAGGTGGCGACCTGTATCCGCCTCCGTGCAGTGGGTCACCCGTTGACGAGCAGGGGTGAACTGGTGGACACCCGCATCCTGGAGGTCAGCACCACTCACCAAGTTCGTCGAGAACGAGGGGAGGTAGAGACCAGTCAGGGTGCCAGAGGGGGCCGCCGGACACGGGAGGACAGTGGAGAAGCGAGACAGGACAGGCCCCCCAGAGGGGTCAGCCAGGGACACCGCAACCGGCCGACTCAGCGGCGTGAGAGTGGTGCGGTCCCTAAAGAAGGAGCGAGACGCTCCAGAGTCAAGGGTGAAGGTGTGAGAGGCCGAAGCCGACACAGTACCTGAGAGGGCAGACTCACCAGCACCTGAGAGCACAGACGCACTGGCACCTAGAGCAGCAGCCTCACTAGTACCTGACGCGGCAGTACCAATGCCCGGGTCGGGCGGGAAACACCGGTAACAGTCATCCTCATCACTACCAGTCGCAGCATACATAGCAGAGAGAATAGCATCAAAATCAAGATCATAAATAGCTACACCAGCCCTAGACAGCTCTCCCCAGCGGGGGATCTCAGCGGCCTCCGGAAACTGCTGACGCCAGGCGTCGGTCAGGCGGCCAAAGCAGCGGCGGGCTGTGTGGGCGCCTCCACACCTCTCCCCTGCACGGTCACCGGTGCGAAGAACGTAGGGGCAGGGACCAAGCGCACCACCACGCTGACGCTGCAAGTACCACTCACGGAGCTGCTGAGGGGCGGGGACGGTGCGAGAGCGCTGCTGCTGCTGTGGCTGCTGCTGCGGCTGCTGCTGCTGCTGCTGCTGGCGCTGACCACCCCCAGAGCTGCTCCGCTGGGACGAGCCACTCCGACCCCCGCCTCCACCGCCACCCCCGCCTCCACCGCCACCCCCGTCTCCACCGCCACCTCCCCCACCAGGACCGTCGCTCCCACCGCTCCCACCGCCTCCTCCGCTACCACCTCCGCCGCCACCTCCGCCTCCACCGCCGCCACCAGTACCTCCACTCCCGCCACCACCCCCACCGCCACCCCCACTCCCCCCGCCACCCCCACCGCCTCCTCCACCGCCCCCTCTAGCTCCACCCGCTCCCTTGCCCCCCTTGCCCTTGCCAGAGCGGCGTCTGCCGCTGGGGGCAGACGCCGCGCCGACCGACTCAAAACCAGCGAGGTCGGCCGCAGCGGCAGAGGCGACAGAGGGCAGCAGGGGGGAAGGACCACACCCCTCAAAGATGGGGGTGCGAGGGTCACCCCGAGAGGCCCCTACAGCGACAATACTCTTCTCAGCCGCTAGCAGGGACTCCTCAAGGAGGTCGACAGTGAGAGTGGTGGGACAGACAGAGAGAAACTGGTCCCTAACGACACGAAGGGACTCAGGGAGACGGGTGACGAGAAAGTAGAGAGTGATGTACATGGGAGGAGGGTTCGCAGCGCGGAACTCAGCAGGAAGGGCAGCGCGGTAGCGGGTGTCACTAGCACGGAGGTGGGTAACGAGGTCAGCGACAGTGGGAAAGGAAGCGAGGTCAGGGAAGAGAAACGGTAGCATGAGGCGGCTAAGGGTAGCGGAGGAAGGGGAGGAGTAGCGTGCAACTACAACGTCGTACAAGGCCTGAGCGGTCTTGCACTGACTAAAGTGGGCACGCTCAGAGGAAGGGAGGTGGCGACGCACAGCAAGACGTGCAGCAGCATCGCGGGTCGCCCACTTGGAGCGAACGGCAGAGTCAGCATCAGCAGGTGGGGCAGGGACAGCGCCAGAGACAAAGTCAAAGAGAGAGACCTCATCTATCGCATCACACAGTAAGTACAGCTGCAGGTCTTCAATCCAGACGGCAAAGTCAATGGCCCTCCCCTCAGCGTCAAAAGTAAGAACATTGGGGGTGGCCATGGCAGCAGCTGAAGGTCTCACCGGGCTGGGAGAGTCGGGTAGGTCAGCAGCAGAGGAACACAGCTCAGGAACAGCAGCACGGCTCCTCAGGCGGCTCGGGCGGCTCGGGCGGCTCGGGCGGCTCGGGCGGCTCGGGCGGCTCGGGCGGCTCGCGCGGCTCGGGTGGCGTAGGGGCTCACGGGCGGCGCGGGCTGCTGGGGCTGCTCACGTGCAGCACGGCGGGCTGCAGCAGGGGCCGCGGGGAGGGCTGTAGCGGGGCCGACGGCGGGCCGACGGCGGGCTGTAGCAGGGCCGGGGCGGGCTGTAGCTGGGCCGGCGGCGGGCTGTAGCAGGGGCCGGTGGCGGGCTGTAGCGGGGCCGGCGGCGGGCTGTAGCTGGGCCGGCGGCGGGCTGTAGCGGGGCCGGGGGCGGGCTGTAGCTGGGCCGGCGGCGGGCTGTAGCAGGGGCCGGTGCGGGCTGTAGCGGGGCCAACGGCGGGCCGTAGTGGGGCCGGTGGCAGGCTGTAGCGGGGCCAGTGGCGGGGTGTAGCGAGGCCAGTGGCGGGCTGTAGCGGGGCCGACAGCAGCTGAAGCGGGGCCGGCGTAGGGCCGTGGCGGGGCCGACGAGGTCTGGGCGGGGCCGACGAGGGGCCGAAGTGGGGCCTAGGCGGGGCCAACGCGGGGCCGACGGGGCCTAAGCAGGGCCAACGCGGGGCCGACGGGGTCTAGGCGGGGCCGACGCGGGGCCAAAGCGGGGCCTAAGCGGGGCCGACGGGCCTAAGCGGGGCTACGCGGGGCCGACGTGGGGCCTAAGCGGGGCCGACGGGGGGTTACGCGGGGCCGACGTGGGGCCTAGGCGGGGCCGACGAGGAGCCGACGGGGTCTAGGTGGGGCCGACGCGGGGCCTAAGTGGGGCCGACGGGGGCTACGCGGGGCCGACGAGGGGCCGAGGCGGGGCCGACGAGGGGCCTAAGGGGGGGGGGCCGACGAGGGGCCTAAGCGGGAGCACGACGGGGAGGGCGACACGGAGGGTCGCTAAAAAAAATGCGTGCCTCGGGGCGCGCTTCGGTGGGCCCTAGGAACAGGCCCTAAGAAGGGACCTGCTCTGATTCCATGAGAAAGTGTGAACGAGAATGAATGACTATGAAGTGAAGTGAATACAAATAGGAAACCCTAATTGTGTTGTACCCCCTATGGGATACCCCACTATAGCCTACAGAAACAAGTAAGCTATATGTTCTGACACAGCGCAAGGTAGTTCAAGGCTTTCTTATTTAACGCTTCCGCTATTACATCATCCTACTCAAACTTTAACTCTACAAAGATCCTAGGGCACCTCAGCCCAACATTTATGAGACGGTGCTGGTTACCGATTTTATTCTACTCGACAATGCTCCTTCCCACAGTGGATGTCTGCCATGCATGCACCGCAGCTGTTCTGTCTGGACCACCTCTGCGTGTCAAGGCTCATGACGTGTACTCTCCAGCATTCAAACAGTACATTCATGTGCAATATCTGCTGTGGATGTGGCTACACAAGCCATACGGTAGGTGCCCTGTTCAATCGTTCTATTCACTGCATCAGCATTTATTGAAAACAGTGCTTCCGTGTGGCAAGGCACCACATTATTGTTTACTGTGTTAAATACATGGCTGGAACACACTGGTTACCCTGCCATGTGAGTGTTAATATGCGAGCCAGAGACCCGGGTCCCTTTCCTGAACCAGTGTCTGCCTCGGTATCTTAACCTCCCTCACCCTCCTCCACCCCTCGGTCCACACTTGGTCCTGTGCACCAAGGCAACGAGTTCCAACATGACCCAGCTTTCTGTATAAACAACTTGCTAATTGGCATATCACATCATCTGGGGGAAGGGGTGGAACCACGAGTCAAGGCCGATCCAGGCCTTGGAGAGAAAGTATCGGCGGGCGGCGGTGGTCAAGGTCTTGAGCCACAGCACGCGCCCGTCCAGGTTGGCCCCGATGCCCGTGTTGTTGTACTCCGCGTAGAACGTCGTCCACTCCCGTGACCGCACGTAAAAGTTATTCCATGCTGTGAGGTGGCGAGGAGGTACGAAGAGAGAGAGAGAGGATGAGAGTGTGCAAGAGAGAGGTGAGGGGAGGCAAGGGACACCTTATTGTTGACTCTGCTTAGAAGGTCGTCCAACCCCTCCACTGCACATAATTTGCGGGGGGGATGTCGAGGAGGCAAGGGAATGATAGCAAGGGAGCAGAGGGAGCAAGAGAGGTATGAGGGAGGGCAAGGGACACCCGATGCCTGTGGTAGCACTCTGCATAGAAGGTCGTCCAGACCTGCGACAGGGAAATAAGCGTTATGGGGGTGGGAAATAAGTGGGAGAGGCGGAGGGAGAGAATTAAGAGGTAGGCAGAGGGAGAGGCGAGAGGTGTTGCTGTACTTAGGCGCAGAATGTAGAGAGAAAGCTCAACGAGGGAGAGGCGCTCATGCTATTCTTGTAATGCGTGCTGTGCGTGCGAGCGATCGTGCGTACACACTGTCACTACTCTGGGAGCCTGAGAGATGGACTCCGATACGAGTAAGCCACTATGCTCACCATCGGCGTTGATGATCTCGTCCATGTACGAGTGCGCGAAGATGGTGCACGCGTACTGACCCCACGACCGCCCCAGCCACCCCTGCAGGCACCAACACGAGGGAAGATACATCAGGTTGTGCAACTGCGGCTCCTGCAGCCGTGGGTCCCTTGTGACGTGATGGATCGGATCCATTCCCTGTGATCACCGCCACGACGAGGGCTGCTGCCTCACGACACCGCCCTGCTCCATCACCAACCAAACGTCTACTACAACTTCTCCATTGCAACTTCCCTCCTCCCTATCCTCCCCTTCCTCCAGTCCCCCCCACCAGCTATTCCCCCCCACTCCCTCCCCCTGATCACCTGCGCGATGATGGGTTGCTGCCCGATAATGCGGTTCTGCACCATGACGAAGCAGTTGTCGTCCTTAATGTCGCGCTTCTTATGCTCTACCCCCTCCCCTTTTCCCCCACCCGTTACTCCCCTCATTTGAACAATAACCCACCTGCGCGATGATGGGTTGCTGCCCGATGACGCGGTTCTGCACCATGACGAAGCAGTTATCGTCGTTCTTAATGTCGCGCTTCTGCGCCGTCACCGACGCGAACCCGTAGCTCGACATCTGCAGCACGCACGACTCGAACCGCGCCTTCGCCTGCCCGAAAATAAAATCCACCGTCCCGAAGATGTAGCCTGGAAAGTGGGGGTGGGGGGGGCGAGAGAAGGGGGGTCGTGAGCGGGCGTGTGGGGGGGGGGCGTGAAGGGGCGTGGGGGAAGCGTTGGGGGGGCGTGGGGGAGCTGGGCGTGAGGAGGAAGGAGAGTGAAGGATCAACGAGGGCGGAGTCGCGCGGCAAACGCGCGAGCCTGTAAATAAAACTCATGGCTTTACGGTGCCGCGTGGCAAATACCGGAGGCTCGACCGTCCTGACCTCTACCTCCCCTGAGATCGCGCACTCTTTCCTCTCCTCTCCTCACGCGCACACATCCCCCACGTCCCCCTTTCCCCACGAACCCCCTCGCCCCCGCTGGGTCACTTACAATCCTTGTAGTATTGCCACCCCTTGTGCGCATATAGGGTATCCTGCGTGGGGGAAGTGGACCGGGGGGGAAGGGGGAAGAGGGGGAGGCAGTGAGAGGAGGAGAGGACGCTGAAGAGGAGGGGAAGGTGCGTGCGTGAGTGAACGTACCGACAGAGTGGTGGCATGTACAGAGGGAGTCGGACCGATGATGACGATGACGACGACGGTAACGTTGACGTCGACAGCTATGACGGCGGCGGGGCCTACCTGGAACGATTTGATGGAGCAATTGTAGAACGCGGTGCGGTTGGCCGTCACTCTGACGGCCACCGCTTGGTAGATGTAGCTGTTGGGCGGCGGCCGCGGCGACGCGTTCTCGAAGTTGACGTTCACGGCCGTGAAATCGTCCGCGAATACGACAAAACAGCCCGTGTTCACTGAGGAAGAGAGGGGCGTGCCAAGGGGAGCGCGGCAGAAGAGTAAAGCGAGGAAAGCGAGTGACAGTCGTGAGGTTCAGTCAGAGTGGGAGCACATCGATTGGAGCAGTGGGGATTACGGCCGTCACGCGCTTCAAGGGCGCGCGCAGGCACGGCGAGCCAATGCGGTGCCTACACGTGAAGCCAGTGTGGTTCTTACACGTGGAGAGCATGTCGCCGTTCTCGTTGAGCATGCCGCTGTAGCGATTGCACGACACCGTGCTGCCGCCGCCCTCGGGATCGCCGATCAGCGACAGATAGCGCTGCGGGGGGAAGAGAGGGGGAGAGGAGAGGGGAAGGAATGGGGAGAGGGGAGTAGAAAGGTGGGGGAAGGGTTTGAGCGGAGCATTTGGGGGGAGGTGGAGACGCGGACATGCAACAAAGCGGTCAGGCGAGAGATGTTCGTGCGAGCATGCGGGGGTGCGGAGAAGCGATGACGCACACATGCGGGCCGACGGTAGCCTGCGTGGTAAGCGCACTGGGAGGATAATGCACGCGACGAGCGACTCATGCGACGCACATACGACATGCGACGCGCGAAGGACGCACCATGTACGGTCGGATGATGATGGTCTCGTTGTACCACCCGGCCTTCACGAATATCTTCGTCCCTTGATTCGGCAGATACGCCTGGCGGCACGTAGTATATCGCCTCCTGCAACGTCACACAGCGACCACCATGCCACGTCAGACGCCATCCAGACACTCGCCACGTGAAAGCAGAATAGCACGCGCGATGTGCGGGCGAGTAGCACACGAGCATGCGGGTATCGCTAGGCAGCAGTCCTGCAGTCGCCTAGCAATGGGCAGTTGGAAAGTCGTCTTACTACCTCCTTCTTCCCCCGCCACCTATCTGCCTGCTTCCTCCCATATGCTCGCGTGCTCGACTCGTTCCCCTCCGTCTATTCTTCCTGCCGTCCGTTCGTCCGTCAAATCTACCGGCCATCCCCATCTCCCTTTGCCCGCTCCTCGCGACGCCCACGACGCGTGCTTTCATATCCGCCTCAATGTCGCACTTCTGCGGGTATTTCTAATACGTGGTCGTCGAAAACATCGCACGCATCGAGGCCATGCGCCATCGCACACGTCACACGCGTCGCACGCACCTGGATAGTGGTAAAGTCGCCCGAGCCGTCCTTCGCGACGACCATGTTGGGCACCACCGGCACGCCGTTGAGGAGAATGGTCATGTTGGTTCGCGACACCACGCCCGCCACCAACCCCGCCGCTCTACTAGGCGCAATTGCAACGGCTATGAGCGCGAGGAGCGCGAATGGGAGGTAGAGCGCGAGGGATGAGAATGGGAGCCGTTGTTGCCGTCTCGCCCGGCTTGGTAACGAGCATGGACGGCGGTTCGCATCTAATACTTGTCTGTCTTGATAGTGCTGGGAGTTGAGCTCCGTGCATGACGATCTGTGTCTTTCTAACAGTATCGAGCCCATATTTACCGAGCCTTCTGATTGACAATCGTGATTCCTACGACACGCCGGGCTCCGGGTTTCTGTTCGTACTACGCTTCGCTTCGTCGAGAGATCCGTGCCGCGCCGCATGAGGTCTCCCGAGGCTAGAGGCCTTTCTTCTTCAACGATTTGCCGATGCGTGGAGCAAGCGACTTGGGTGAGGAGAAATGGCAACAGAATAGTCCGTAAGGATATCGCAGGTCCGAGAGGCTGGCAAAAGAAATCGACGAAAGGACCGCGCTATCTAGCGGCCTACGACGGGGCAAGGAGTTAACTACTGAACGTGGAGGAAGGATGGGGTCGGTGGCACTCGCAAGCTCAGAGGGGCCGATCTAGTCGGTCGGAAATGTCACGAAGCAGCCCTACGCTGCGAGCCGGGACGAGAGTTTAGCTGAAGCAACAGCACGAAGTGACTTCAAACCTCAACTCCACTACCGTAATTCACAAAGCAGGGAGAAAAACAGTCCATTTCGCGCAAGCCCTGCGCCGTCATCCAGCTCCACGACTTGTATCAGCATCGGTCGTGGTGCCACTTCCACTCCAACAGTGGCCGTGTCCCATCACTTCAATTTGCTTCCTTTCTCGAGGTTCCTCCTCTCCTCCCCTCCCTTACAGCTTCCCCGTTGCCCAGCCCAGGCCTCGAATTTGTTCGCACCGACAGGCGGGAGAAGTCTGCTGCGAGGGTGTGCGAGGGATTTGCGTTGCGAGGGAAGCTGGACGGCCTGCAACTCGCGCGGCTCGCACAGACCAATTTTGGGCCTCCGAGGCGCGCTTGATTTCAGGACAGAAACGCGAGGCTCGGGGATGATGGTTTGAAAGCGTGCTGGAAATGAAATACGGTACACCTGAGCTAGGGGATATACAGTTACGCGGTACTTGCTGATTATTATGGACAAACTATGTCCAAGAAGCTGAATGAGGAAAACAAAGCAAGAACACTTTATAATTGCCACAATATGAAACGAAAAAAATAGTAACTGATACTACCACAGTAATACTATGAGATAGCATGTAGAGGCGTCACTGGAAAGGGCTCAACAACGTAAGCAGAAGCATTTACACCGTGCATCCTCATGCTAGGACCCGCAAGTGTGCTCCCTGAACCAGCTGCAACGAAACCAAGATTATTCACTAACTTCGGAGTAGGAGCATCTCGAGGCATCACAGGAAGCGGGGTATTAGGAGCCGAGGCCACGTTACGGGAGAACCAGTCCTTCATCTGTGTCAGGTCGCTGCTTGAAGAATCAGAAGATGCAGCGACACAATGCGCTGAAGCTCCAAGAGAGATCTCCTCGCTACCCCCCTCACCCGGACCTGCCGCACATGCAAGCTTTGCTGCGCTAGGACTCAAGCCACCATTCGTAAGGCTCGGCGTACTTCTGCTCAGGCCATCGGCATGTGTTGCCTCCACTGCTGCTGCTTTCTCAGCAGTATGCACGCCAAGGACAGCAGCAGCAGAGGGGCGGGCAACATGCAGGCGCAGGGACTTGAACAGAGAGAGGCGGTGGGACGCAGCCTGCAGCCGACCCTTGCTGCTGCTGCTGACGCTGCTGCTGGTGCTGGCGTTGATACTGCCGCAGCTGCTGCCAGCAATGTTGGTCCGGCTTGCTCTCCAGCTGCTGCCTCCTCCGCCGCTGCAGCTGCTCTCAGAGCTCTCAGGGCTGCTCCGAGCCATGCCAAGACTGCCCTGACTGGACACTCTAAACATGTACCCCGTTGAACCTGTTGACTGCGTTGACTGCACTGAATCTGCAGCGTTCCGCCCTTGCTGCTGCGTGCCGTCGTCGCACTCAGACGCCGTCTCCACGGGCGACAGCAGCGGGAGGCCCCTGGGCGTCAGCCCTCCCGACCAGTTCGCCTGCCTCGCCTCATTTCGCCCACTGAAGTAGCGAACGCCCCTGTTTCGCTGCCTTTCGCTACTCTCCGCCTCCCCCTCCTCTTCACGCTCACCTCGCGAGATCTTAAGGTCGCGGATAGCGTTTTCCCACGAGTACATATCTTCTGCGGAAATTGCATAAGCACCGAGCTGTGCCACGGTATGGTTTTCAGCGCGCGACGCGCTCGCGGCGCCTTTTGGCGAGACTAGGTCCATCAGCGACCACGGGCCTGACGCGCCGTGATTGCTGACGTCACGCGGGACGCGGCTCCGTTCCGTCCCGTCGCGCTCACGTGACGCATTTCTACGAGGGCGCGGGAGAGCGGTCAAAGCGCGCGCAAGCTTCCGCGACCCGCTGGAGAGAAGCGCGCGCGGTGAGACGAGGGACGAAGCGGAGGCAGGGGGTGCCCGCGGGGAGATGAGGGCGGACGCGGAGGACGGTGGCGCGCGCGGAGAGATGAGGGCGGACGCGGAGGCCGGTGGCGCGCGCGGGGAGATGAGGGGGGAAGCGGCGGAGGACGGTCGCGCGCGCTGCGAGACGGAGTTGGGGATGGTTGGCGCAGTGGACGGGACGGTGCCGCTGGTAGTCCGGGCAAGGGGAGGAAGGGTTGTTGCCGGCGTGGCCGCGGCGGCGGCTGCACTAGGCGATGATGGCAACGCGACGGCGCCGATGGCGGCACCGGTGGTAGGTTTGCGCGGCGTGGTGGGCATCATTAGCGCGGCGCGCAGCGAGTGGTTTATGGGAGGCATGGACGCCGCACGCTCCAAGCCAGATCCGCCTTTCGCTGCGACCGCAGCGCGTTGGCGGGTCGAGGTGCGGGATGCACGCGGCGTGAAGCAGCTTACAACGGTCGCATCGTCCGACGGCGACTCCGAGTCGTCAATCATGTTTTCCGCATCGCTCGCCGTGCACTCCGCCGCACATGACGCCAAATCATGCGGCCGGCGCGCGTGGTTGACCGAGAGAGCAACGTGTGCAGCCAAGACTGGATGCTCCACCAAGCAATAGGTTCCTCCAGGCCGCAAAAAACGCTCCGGCGGAAGAGGCGCCACATTTGGCGGTTGTGATTGTCGCGACGTCGCGTAGCAATAGCCAGAAGTAGCAAGATCTGGCGGTGCCCCCGCGCCCGACGCTGCGATGTGATTCAGCGACGCGAGGCCGTGGTGGGGAAACTCTCTAAGGACGTCCCTGACTTGCATGAGCTGCTCGTGATACAAACGAATGGAGCCATCGGAAAGAAGAACGATGACGGGATCTGCGAACGACGCGGGCTGTGCGACGGCAAACGCCATCACTTTCGACGAATAGCAGAAGGCGTCACGTGACAGGGCTTAGGAACTGAAGAACGCGTTATGAGGGAGAAGCCGAGAAGGTACGAAGACGTTGAACGTCAGCTTGAAGCTGTGGGGGAAAAGAAGTCGACATTTTTAGCTCACTCGCGATTCTCAACCATGTATGGGTGGAAGAACTTCCAAACGACTCGAGGAAAAAATTGCTCGAGGCGTGCGTGGTGCTGTATGGTTCTGCTCGGTGACCCTGCTGAGTCAGCCACTTGAAAGCAGAACTGGGCTGCCTCGTCTGACACCATCCGTACCAGACCGCCAAGTACAACACCGTTCTTTAGGGCGTGGTGCATCATGCTGTCATTGCATAAAATGCTTGATCGCGATGCTAGAACCGCAACCCTGTGAAATCCGGTTGGGTTGGGCGTGCTCGGGGCCCCCTGCGACCCAATGGCACCCCCCATGATGCGCCACCTGCAGTTTTGCAGTCCCGATCCCCCACTACCAATGAGACGCGGTCAAGGCGTCGCCTGTACATTTTGGTTTCAGCGTTTGTTCCGTAACCATGTCGTCTTCGCCTCGCTCTCGTGTCGTTTTGTTGTTCGGCGATTTTTTTTTCTCGCGAACAAGGATCGGTGTGCACGTGGTGCACCTCCAACCCTTGATCGCGTGGGATCGCAGGCTCTCAGTTCCCACATGCTCGAGGGTGGTTGGGTGGCAGTTTTCGCGATCCCCCAGGGTCGTGGTGCAGCAATGCTACAGTACTTACTGTGCTCAAAAGACAAAACATTGTAACAAGGATCGCTTGGGATCGCGATCCTACAAAATAGCATGATGCACCTTGGCCTACCTTATCTGTTGTCCGAGGCTCTTACTGTACGAAGGTCGGAGTCGCTGGTCGGTCACTCATTTCGGCTGCCGGCGAACACCATGTTGGCGTGGCGGCTTACTTGACGGACGGCTTGTTGGAGTCGACTGACACGAGGAGGCGAGACTGAGTCATCCTACAGTCGCGTGACGTGACGACGACTCGATTTCGTGCAGAACGTGTGAAAGGAACTTGACCAGAACCCACGATGGACACCTGACCTAACGGTTCCGCATTTTCCGAACCTTCTATTTGTGCCACTTGCAGGTCAAGCACTGTGCGGAGGAACGAAACACACCAAAAGCTGCAACCAGCTGGAACGTCTTGCAGCAAGCAACGGTTGCTCCAACTGATACGGAAAAGACCCCACTGAACTGAAATATCTCAGAAATAGCGTGTTGAACCGTACCGTACCGAACATTGGCAATACGAGACAAACAACCACAGACAGCTGGCGAAAAATGTAAACAGTGGGGTTGCCGAGCTGAGCCAAGTTCATTCATCCAGCCGACAGGCAGGCACCCCACATACGTCCAAATCAGATGCCTCCCCCAGCAAGCACACTTGCAGCAAAGCGTCAACAGGTGATGGGGGTGGGTCCGTACTGGATGCTCGTTATAGGTTCATCCAGTAGTGCAATATCTTTTGAAACGGCAACAATTTCAACGTCTCCCTCAAAAACACTTTGACATGTCTGTTTCACTCACTAAACTCCCCATTCCTAACTCTATCCGCTAGCCTTTTCCCAATCATGAACGCCACTGACTCAATAGACACCATAGGATTCACTCCCACAGGCGTCGGGAACACACTCCCATCGCCCACAAACAACCCAGACACTTCCCAACTCTCCCCATTCTCATCCACAACAGAGTTCTTAGGGGAAGTACCCATGGGGCAGCTGCCGGTCTGGTGCGCGGAGAACAATGTGCAATCATTCAGCTTAAAGCCCGCTGCAACCACGGATTTCAAGTACGCCTCAAACTCCGTATCAGACGTGCATTGCCACCCATCCATCCCCTCCAAGCTAATGCTGCCTTTCAATTTGGCTTTCGCTGCCAGCAGGTTTTCATCAGCTGTGTCGGCGTCAACGGTGGGTGGGATGAGGCAGCGGAAGGGCTTGAGGGACTGGTGAAGCGTGCCCACCTCCACAGCTCCCGCTGCCCTAAGGATGCGCAGCGACAGCAGCAGGGCCTCCTGGTGATGAATATAGCAGGACATGAATAGCGCATCGGGGAACAAGGAGAGGGAGACGGGGAGAGACATGTTTTGAGTCGACCCAAAAGTCGACAGCAGCAGGGCCTCCTGGTGACGGGTGGCAGATTATGAATAGCGCAATGGGGAACAAGGAGAGGGAGACGGGGAGACAGCCCACAGTTGTTTGCATGAACAACTTGCTAGCACAACCTGACCCGCCTTGCCCAGCTGGGGTGACTTTGGAGTCGATGTACATGTCTGCACAACCTTCCCACATCCCCTTCCACCCCCATCATACACTTTCCCCTCCCCAACCCCTTTTCCCCACTCTCCCCTCCCCTACATCTCACCTGCATGCTCTTTTGGTCCTCCTTGCACAACCGGTACGTCACTACAGGCCGGCCGCTGCCGTCCACGCGCACAGTGCCACGCCCGCGGTCCCTGACGATGGAGATGAGCGAGGCAATGCGGTCGAAGCGCACTGCTGACTGCTTGATGGTCTGACTGCCCAGCCAGGGTATGGCGCAGCCTAGCAGACCCGGGTGTATCGTGGGGGTCTGGAGGGAGAGAAGGGAGCAGAGGAAGGCGAGAAGCACAAAGGGTAGGTAAGTGGAAGCAAAGTGCACGACAGACTGCTTGATGGCCTGGCTGCCCAGCCAGGGTATGGCGCAGCCCAGCAGACCCGGGTGCATCGTGGGGGTCTGGGATGGCACACGGGGGGAAGAGGAAGGCGGAAAAGTGCAGATTGCAGCAAGGGAGACATGTGATGACATTGTGGGGTCATCACATGAAATACAGGGTGCGACCTGAATCATATGACCTGAATTATATGACCTGATTCATAAGACCTGATTCATAAGACCTGATTCATATGACCTGATTCATGAGACCTGATTCATAAGACCTGATTCATATGACCTGATTCATAAGACCTGATTCATAAGACCTGATTCATATGACCTGATTCATGAGACCTGATTCATAAGACCTGATTCATAAGACCTGATTCATAAGACCTGATTCATATGACCTGATTCATAAGACCTGATTCATAAGACCTGATTCATGAGACCTGATTCATAAGACCTGATTCATAAGACCTGATTCATAAGACCTGATTCATATGACCTGATTCATAAGACCTGATTCATAAGACCTGATTCATAAGACCTGATTCATAAGACCTGATTCATAAGACCTGATTCATAAGACCTGATTCATAAGACCTGATTCACATGACCTGATTCATAAGACCTGATTCATAAGACCTGATTCATAAGACCTGATTCATAAGACCTGATTCATAAGACCTGATTCATATGACCTGATTCATAAGACCTGATTCATGAGACCTGATTCATAAGACCTGATTCATAAGACCTGATTCATAAGACCTGATTCATGAGACCTGATTCATAAGACCTGATTCATGAGACCTGATTCACACTGCACCCGTACCTGAATCATGGCACCATATCCACTTGTCTCCCAGTTAGCCGTCTCCCTCGAGTTGACGCTCATGATTGGCCCCAGATAGCCCGGGCCCGCGGGCAGCGACGGCGGCAGGGAGGGGGCGGTTTCGGGGAAGAAGCCCCAGGCGGAGGTGACGGGGTGCAGGCGCAGTGAGGCGCCGATGGCTCGGTTGGTGAGACCACTGGCGAGCAGTAGAGGAGGCGTGTGGAGGCTGGCGGGGTATGGGGAGGGGAAAGGGGAATAAGTGGGTGGAATGGGGGACAAAGAGGGGCAGAGGGGGGCAGGGGATGACAAGGGGGTTGAAGGGGGGCAGGGAGGCAGACAGAGAGGGGGTTAACGGGGAAACAAAGGGGAAGGTCTCGGGAAAGAAACCCCCCGCGGAGGTGACGGGGTGCAGACGCAGCGAGGCGCCGATGGCGGGGTTGGTGAGACCACTGGCGAGTAACATTGGCGGCGTGTGCAGGCTGGTGGGGGGCGGGGGAGTAGGGAAGGGGAGCAGTGGGGGCAAGAAGGAAAGAAGCCAAAGGCGCAGCGAGGGGCGGATTGCAGTGTTGGTGAGGCCACTGGAGAGCACCAGAGGGGGCGTGTGCAGGCCGGTGGGGGCCCGGGGGGGAGGGGGTATGGGGGTAGGTAGGTGCAATGTGGGTCAAGAAGGGGCAGTGGGGAACCACGGGGTGGGAAAGGGGTTAAGGGCGTCAGAGGTAGAACATTAAGGATGTAAACGTTGCAGGCTCCCACCCTACCTGCCACACGCCACAACAACCAAGTTGGCCTCCACCACAACTCTCTGCCACACGCCCTGCTGCTCTACTCTCGCCTCCACCCCCACCACCCGCTTCCTCCGCCTCACGCCAGCAGCCGCGCTGCTGCTTGTGGCACCAGGGGTGGTGCTGGCTGGGCGGTTGGGGGAGAGGAGGAGGCGGAGGGCGGCGCAGCGGGAGAGGATGATGGCGCCGTGTGTAACAGCGTCTGGTAACCAGGTTTCCAGCATCGACTGCTTCTCGCCTGACCAACAGCCAAAGGTGCACCAGGCGCCTGGGAGGGGTTGGAAGCAAATAGGGAGAGGAGGGATGGGGCCTGAGCAGAATGACAAGGGTATGGAGAGCACCTGCTAAGTCTGCCACTTATGTAGATGCACGTCAAGATGCAATGTGGCTACTCACAGGGGTGCGGCTACTCACAGGGGTGCGGCTGGTTGGTGTTGCGGGGGGTGACGGCATGGTGGCAGCCCAGAGCCGCGCACCCCGCCTTGAGCGCTGCGTTGCTCAGGCTGTGCGGGGTGAGGGTCTCGTCTGCTGTGACCTGTGTGGGGGAAAAGGGAGGGGCAGCAGGGGAGACGCATGCTGACAACCCTGGGCAGGGAATTAGAAGTCAGTTTTGAGCACAGCTTGTGAGCTGCTGAATCTAGTATTGGGCATGCCTCAATGTACTTTCGCGCACCTGAATCTTCTCACAAACGGCATCCATGGCTGCTGCATACTCCGGCGACTCAAATTGCTGCCAGACGTGTGGGGCAGCGAGGGGGAGAGTAGGTGGGAGGAGGGAGGGTGAGCAACAGGGACATGAGAGAGAGCCGTGAACGTGCAGTAGTGATTCACATGGCGTAAAAATCATGTGTTACATGGTGGCAGGCACCAGATCACACCACGTTTTATGTCACACCATCCATGTTCGCCAGAAGAAAATAGCACTCGTATGCTCATCAGCATTTCAACAACCCACGCTTACCCACCTTGAGCCCATACTCGCCGGCCCACTCCTTGGTGACGTGGGGCGGTGTGCGGAAGGATGCAGACCAGTTGACAGCACTGCCGCCTCCCACTGTTCTCCCTGCCAGAAGCGCCACCCCGCCATCCTCCGTGGTGAGAAAGCCCTGCGTGTCGTACCTGAGAGGAGCCAGGGAAGGAAATAAGAGGGAGGATGAATCGGGAGGGTGAGAATTCAGAAGTCCACTCGCCAGACTTCGGTGGTGACAAAGCCTGCGGGAGGCTTTGTCTACCCTTGAAAAGCCGGAGCAGCGATTACTGCTCATGCACGGTCGTACTGCTCATGCACGGTCGTACTGCTCATGCACGGTCGTACTGCTCATGTGTGTCGTGCCTGCGGGAGCCAGGAGAGGGAGGGAAACAAGAGGGAGGACGACAAGGTAGACTAGGAGGCCACTTGCCAGCAGCGCCACCCCGCCATCCTCCGTGGTCAGGGAGAGGGTTGAGCTAGGACAGCGAGTGAGAGAAGATGGACGGTGGAGTTGGAGTGTGAGAAACGGGGGGAACGGGGAGGAACGTTTTGAATCAACTCACTGCCCTCCCCATTCGCAGCCCCACGCTGCCTTTCTCTGTGTCGTACCACGCTGCCATTCTCTGTGTCGTACCACGCTGCCATTCTCTGTGTCGTACCACGCTGCCATTCTCTGTGTCGTACCACGCTGCCATTCTCTGTGTCGTACCACGCTGCCATTCTCTGTGTCGTACCACGCTGCCATTCTCTGTGTCGTACCACGCTGCCATTCTCTGTGTCGTACCATGCTGCCATTCTCTGTGTCGTACCATGCTGCCATTCTCTGTGTCGTAGCTGAGGGAGCACGCAGGACAGGGAGTACTCACATCTGAGCAGGACAGGGAGTACTCACATCTGAGCAGGACAGGGAGTACTCACATCTGAGCAGGACAGGGAGTACTCACATCTGAGCAGGACAGGGAGTACTCACATCTGAGCAGGACAGGGAGTACTCACATCTGAGCAGGACAGGGAGTACTCACATCTGAGCAGGACAGGGAGTACTCACATCTGAGCAGGACAGGGATTACTCACATCTGAGCAGAGGGAGCTTCGAGAAGGGACAAGTCCGAGCGGAAAAAGTACCCCCCTGCTTCCAGCACCAACACCTTCCTCCGCCGCCCGCTGTCATCCCCACCATTGCCAGCACCACCAGCTGCAGCTGCTGCTTCTGCGAGCTGAGCCGCAATGATGGCTCCTCCACAGCCCGAACCAATCACCACCGCATCGCATCGCACCACCACAGGCTGGCAAGGGAGCAGCAGATGGTGTGCGGTTGGAAGGAGTGAAGAGCAGTAAACACGGGGCAGAAAGCGGCTGATAATGGATGGTACGAGATGGTTGAGATATAACTCGGTGGAAAGAGATGCTACAAGTTGGAGTGTGTGAGGGGTGGACGGGAAGAGTGGTGGGTGGGCAAGGAGTGTAATGATTTCAGTACAAACAAAGTTCACCTCATAAACGTTTCCCACTATACCACCCACTGCACACACATCACCTCACCCAAGGGACCCACCTCTCCTTCCCCTTCATCTCGCCTGCCCAGCAGCCCAATCGTCTGCCTGGGCCCCGGAAGCACCTCCACGCCCTTCCCTTGCAGCACTGCTGCCAGCCCCTCGCCCTCTGCTGCACAGTCCACCACCGCCTCGTCCAGTGGCCTCGCCTCGCCTCCCTTCGCCCCACACCCACCACTCTCCCCATCTCCCCTCATCATCTCCTCTTCATGCTCTGCTTCTCCTTCGCCTCTGTCGGATTGCTGAGCTGGACGCTGTGCCATGTCAGCATGTTGAGCTGGCCGTTGTGCCACGTCAGGATCGCAAGCAGCTGAGCTGTCTCGGCCGCGGTGCTTCCCAGCAGCGAGCATGTTGGGATCGGGTCCGCAGTACCCCATGGCGCGCCACAGCATGCTATTGCCAGAGCCGTCATGCTGGTGTTTGGGGTGCATGGGGTGCATGGGGTGCGTGGGGTGCATAGGGCGCATGGGGCGCATGGGGTGCATGGGGTGCATGGGGTGCATGGAGTGAATGTCAGCATGGGGCGCATTGAGGTCGGCTGACCTAACAGTGTTGATACAATAGATACTTATTCTTCTATAATGTTTTTCTTACTGCGCACGCCTCAAGCTCAGATTCCACACATGCGAACTGGGAGGGGGCACAGATTGATACAAAGCTTCTGTTGACAGTGCCTCGCTCATCGCAGCATGAATGGACCCCTCGGGGGAATAAGGGAGGGAGTGAGCGAGGAGTGCTGAATGTGGGAGGGGAGGGGTGCAGGGTTGGGTGATAGCTAGGGATGAGTGGGGAGCGAGGGTGGTTGGGGTGGGGTGAAAGCGAGGGTGGGGCACAGAATGGACAGGAAAAGGGAGGCTTACCTGAGCGCCCACGTGGAAGAGCGTGAAGCTGCGGAACGTCTGTGTTGAACACGGGGGTTCACGGGTAAAACAAGGCATAGCGATGTTACAGAGTCATTAACAGCATGGGAATCATGGAATGCACCACGCTCCACGGAAAAAAATTGAATCTCACACCCACCCGCACCTGTGACATTGAAGTGAAGCTGCCTCGCAAACGCATGTCCTTTTGAGCCACCAGGTACACACTCACAGCCTCGAGACACAACTCTCTAGCTTACCCCCGCTCTCCCTCTCACTGTCACCATCCGCCTTCGCCAACCCCCTCCCCTACTCCCCACCTTGAACACGGTGCGCAGCAGGAAGTTGCTGCTCACGGACCACTGCAGCAGCACGGCCTCGCGAGCCTGCGGCGACAGCTTCGCGAAGGGCTGCACGAACGGCGGCCGCCGGGTGAAGGCCCTGCGGCCGGCCAGCAGCAGCGTGCCGAGGCGCGTGGAGAGCAGCCATAGGACCGTGCTGAAGACGGCCAGAGGCAGGGGTTTCACGCACTGCTTCATTGTCGTGGCCACCTGAACGAAGGGGCGGCAAAGTTGGCGAGTATTGAGATGCCTTCCCAAAGGCGAGTGGAAAGGAGCCAGAGCAGTGGAATGGAGCGAGCGAAGACGTGATGCCTTCACGGAGGTGACTACGCGAAGGGCCAGCGGCTTCTGCCATTGCTGCATTTTCACGGCCTCCTGCACGGAAGGGAAGCAGCCACGGCGACGGAGACGAGGAGGTGCCAAGGGAACGAAAAGGCAAGGGATGGAGAGCATGATAGCACGCGACCCGCCGCTACGCGTGCACAGGTTGCACGGACCAACGAGGGGACGCTCTCGGAATAGGACCGGACGGAGGGCCGTTGGATCAGAATGCTGAACGAATGGCAGGCGAGCGCGAGAGGATGCTACCAACGGGCCGACGAACCTTGTCGACGATGCCGAGGCTAGACGCGGATTCCGCGAAGTACGCCGCGATGGCTTCCTTCCGCGGCTCGCCGTAAAACTCGCTCCATTGGCTAGACGACTGCGAGCCTTCCTTTCGCTTCCCGACGAGCTGGAAATACGGGTCGTCGGAATCCGTCGGAACCGGCATGGAGGATACGAGCGTGTCGCATATGGCGGTCAACGCGGCGAATTGACGAGGCGACATCGAATGCTTGGGAGGTATGCCTTTCTCCTTGACCTTCTTGCTACTACGAGTAGGCATTCTGTCAATCCGTCGGAAGCACGGATATGCCCTGGAAACAAACCGACGAAGGTAGAAAAGGCGATCGAATGTGGGACGACCAGAATCCGGCGCAGGAATGACTGATGAAAGGAGAGGAGCACTGGTGGGGCCTTTCAATCAGCCTCGTCGTTATGGCCTGAACCTGAAATGCTTGAAATGTGCCTGAAATTCCTGACTCGAGGCATGCAGCGTGGAGCTTGATTGAGCAGGGGTATCCCAAGGTGTTGGAGGGTGTTCCCAAGGTGTCATCGAGGTGCAAATTCTCGCTTGTAGAAATCTGGATAAAGTGTTAGTGCTGACGTAGCAAAATATTACGTTGTACTGAACGGTGTAGCTTCGGCAAAATCATGAAAGGGTCAATCCCACGGGATGCGAATTTGCAGGTCAACAATACGACAACGCCTCGCCACCACCCTCCATGGCAGTGAGGAGGAGAGCATTGCAGATCCCAGAGCAGACTGAAACCGTCCGATGTACTCTCCTTTTGTCGATGAGAACCGTGCATTCCCCAGCGACAAACGGTCTGGTCGCATGGCCCAGGGTGCTGTGATGCGAACTTCTCGTTCGCCCAGGGCCTCACTTCTGACAAAGCCCTATGTGCGACAAAGCACATCGCATCGCATGGATCCAGTCGTATGCCTCGTTCCGTCCCGTCCGTCCCGTCGTTCCGTCCTTCCCTTCCTGCACACTGGTTTTCCCATGTTCTGGTGTTGAGGTGTGCAACAGTGAGTGACACGGACCAAACCTAGATTTTTCATGGTGTGGGATTCAGAGAGTTAACGTTGCGTTTAAATTGTCATTTTTAGCTTTCAAGACGGTTAAGTAGGATTTCGAGGTAGAAAAACTCCCCTGTGTCGCAACCTCATTCTGAGCATCTGAGCAGTGAGCATCCCAGCCAAAAATTCCAGCTTCTAGGAGATAACGTAGAAGTGACGGAAGCATTCACCACGGAAGCCCCCTTAGCAAGGAAAGTAGCTAAAGGGTCTCGTAGTTCTCTCAGCTGTCGAGAATAATAGTTCGGCGCAAGGCCGGATTCTTGAATATTGACGTTTTAATAGTTCCGCATCTTATCTAATCTCTGGTTGTATGCGATATTGTGGAATCCAAGAGGGAGGCGAATAGACGGAGTGATGCCTGAGATGGATGACTTCGAGGTTGGTGCATTCCGCTGGTTCTTATGGCTCTCAAAATCTTATTCGCTAGTTACCACACTACTATACGACGTTTACTGTCATATCGAGCATCATGTCATTGTCTCTTCCTCGTTGACTTCAAGTGAATCTCTTTACGCGCTTGTCGTCATCTCTTTTCCACTCCGTTCATTTTCCCGCGCTTTATTCTCCGTACGCTCCCTGGCATCAGCTGATGGGCGATGCGAGCGACACGGACATGGCGGAGCAGCACGAAGTCGCAGACGCCGACACTCGCTACACGGAACAGCAGGAGGACACGGACGGCGACTTTTGCCACACCGAACAGCACGAGAACACGAACTCCGACTATCGCTACACGGAGCAGCACGAGAACTCGAATGCCGGCTATACTCGTACACATCAGCGCCGAGTCTACTACGATGCGGGTCCCGCCGGTGGCGATCAGGAGCAGCGGCAGGTGTATTACGACACGGACGAATCTCTCGCAGCGAGCGACGACGACGACGGAGACGACGACGAGGAGAGCATTCGAGGCGACGACGACTTCGGATTCTCATGGCGCCGACGAGGCAGCCAGCGAGGCGGTACCCGGTCGTTTCAAGACAACTCCGACGACGATAATGATCTCGTAGGTCTCCGGATCATCGGTTAATTGTTGCGTGGCGTGTTCATCCAGCCGCCTTCGCGTGCGACAATCACAAATTCCGTCAGTTTCGTCGCCAGCCTGACTCAGATTAGGTCAGGTCGCTGCGCCATTCCCCGTCGCCGCGCGTCCTGCTTCTTCTTCGACTAAACAAGATCCCTTTTCCTTCCCCCCACCTCCCCTTGTCTCCTGTCGCACCCTGTTTCACCCTGATGCCAGCTGGAAGGCCCGGAGGACGTGAGCGCGCGGCAGGTGCGGCGGGGGCGGGACATTCAGGGGATTCCGTGGGAGCGGCTGCACCTGAGTCGGGAGAAGTACCGCGCGATGCGGCTGCAGCAGTACAAGAACTACAAGAACCTCGACGTGTCATTGGATGTTGTTGATAAGGTGCGCGCAGTGTTTATGTGCGCGCACATGCGTCATCACGAGAGCAAGTGTCAGGCGTCCTCGATTCTCCGTTACATTCATCTCCTCCTCGTTTTGCACTTCTTCTCTTCCTTCGGTTTCCCTCCTCCTTCTCCCTCCCCAGCCCCGTTCCCTTCTCACCCCTTCTTCTGCCTGCCTTATCCCGCATCTTGCCTCACCCTCCACCCTCCACGATATGGCCAAGTCACACTCGGCCTCCTCAATTTACCCCTCTTCTTTCTCCGTCCCCTCTTCTTCCTCCTCACCCCTTCCCCTCTCCCTCTCTGGCTCCTTCTTTCCTGCCTTACCCCCCGTCTTGCCTGTCAATTCTCCCAGGAAGTGCAGCAGGTGACGACGGGCAGCAATTTCTACGAGTTCACGCACAACACGCGCGCAGTCAAGTCCACCATCGTGCACTTCCAGCTGCGCAACCTCGTGTGGGCCACGTCAGCGCATGACGTGTACTCGCTGCACCACCACGTCATCAACCACTTCTCCCCGCTCACGCGCAAGTCCACCCCGGTCCTGGACCTCGGAAACCCCCTCGTCGCCAGGCGCCACGCCCCCCCGCACGCCCACGCGCCCACAGCTGGCGCGCGGGGCGCAGGGGGCGCGGGGGGTGCAGTAGGCAGGGGGGATCAGCGCAGCGGAGTGCAGCTGGAGCCTTCTGCGCGGGCGATTTACACGGGAGCCATGCCCTCCGCTGCAGGCTCCGCTGCTGCTGGGAGAAGCAACAGCAGTAGCAGCGGTACAGAGGAGGGCAGAGCGGTGCTGGGGAGAGAGGCAGGGGGACTGGCGCTTTCTCAACAGCAGCAGCAGCAGCAGCAGGAGGGGGTGTGGGAGGCGGTGGATCGGGTACAAGTGAGCACCATGTGCGTCAGACACGGGCTGCTCGTAGCAGGGGGCTTTCACGGGGAGATGGTCTGCACCAGGCTCGGCACAGGCTCGGAAGCGGACGCAGGCTCGGGGTCGGAAGCAGGAGTGGCGTTCACAGGGCGGGTATCCCGGGATCAGAGTGCCATCACGAACGCTGTTGAGATCTTCAGATCTAACAGGTGCGAAGGGAGGGGTTTTGAGGCCCGTCAAAGGTTATTCCGGGATGAGAGTGCCATCACGAACGCTGTTGAGATCTTCAGACCTAACAGGTGCGAAGGGAGGGGTTTTGAGGCCCGTCAAAGGTTATCCCGGGATGAGAGTGCCATCACGAACGCTGTTGAGATCTTCAGATTCAACAGGCCATTCCTGCCATTCTAGCCTCTCCTGTCATCAATTCTTCCTTGTGCCTCTCCCCCTCTCTCGATTTTCTCCACTCTCTTGCTTGTTTCCTGTCTCTCTCGCCCCTTCCGCCTTTTGCTCGCCCGCAGTGGAGCACTGAGTGTGCTCACGTCCAACAACGACTGTGTGGTGAGGGACTTCGACATCGCCACCTTCTCCATCCTCTCCCGCCAAGCCTTCCCTTGGCCCGTCAATGTGAGCCCCGCCCACTCATCTTTGTCTCGCATGTCCCTCTCAGCTGCTCATCTACTGCTCTCATCTCCCACCTCTCACCTTTCGTCTCTCACCTCTCACGTCTCGTTCTCCCTCCTCCATCCCGCGCGCCCCCCTCTCCCATTGCCCACCAGCACACGGCAGTGGCACCGGACAGCACGCTCGTGTCAGTGGTGGGGGACGACCCCGAAGCATTGCTACTCGACCTCACCTCGGGCAAGGTCTGCTCCTCTCGCCCTCGCCCCCCCCTGCTCACTCCACACCCTCCTCTCTCACGCCTCCCTGCTCACTCCGTTTCCCGCTCCCCTCCCTGCCCGCACCACCGTTGCTCTTCCTCTCCTCCCTCTCCTCCCTGCTCACTCCACCCCCGCCCATCCACACCTCTGCTGACTCTTGCCGGGTGTGCCTCGCTCGCTTCACCATCCACCTTTGCCATCACCTTGGAATGAAGTTATTTTCGTCCTTCACCTGTCCACGTGTTTCATCCTCTGCCTCTGCCCCCCACAGCTCTCAGCCTCTCTTCCTCTCCCCTGTCTCACGTGCCTCATCCCCCCACACAACCCCCATACCCCCCCATATCCCCCCCATACCCCCCCATACCCCCCCATATCCCCCCCATACCCACCCATATCCCCCCCATACCCCCTCATATCCCCCATGTCCCCACTCCTGCATGTCAAACCACTCACTGCCCTCACAGGTTGTAGCGCGCATGCAGGGCCACGTGGACTACTCCTTTGCTACAGCCTGGCACCCGGGCGGCAACCTCTTTGCCACGGGCAACCAGGACACCACGTGTCGCGTGTGGGACCGCCGGCGACTTGACAATTCCCTGTTCACCCTCAAGGGGCGATTGGGGGCTATTCGGTCACTCAGATTCACCAGCGATGGCAGGTGGGTCTCCGTTGGGGGGAGAGGGAAGGGAATAGGCAGTTTTAGGTGGGTGTGTGCATGGCTGGGAGGGAAGGGCCAATTAGGACACCACGTGTCACGTGTGGGACCGGCGGCGACTTGACAATTCTCTGTTCACCCTCAAGGGGCGCTTGGGGACCATTCGGTCACTCAGTTTCACCAGCGATGGCAGGTGAGTTTCTGTTGGGGGGAGAGGGAGGGAGGGAGGGCCCATGGTGCGTGTCTTTGACGCAAGCAGCCTCCCTCGCTCCTAGCCCCCGTCCCTCACCACATGCTTGCACATGGCACATCAACTCGAATTCTCTCCCTCCCTCCCCCCACCACTCCTCTCCCCCAGGTTCATGGCCATGGTTGAGCCAGCAGACTTTGTGCATGTCTTCGACACGAGCAGTGGGTTCACATGGCACATCAACTTGTAATTCCTCCCCCCCTCCTATCCACCACTCCCCTTCCGCCCAGGTTCATGGCCATGGCTGAGCCAGCAGACTTCGTGCATGTATTCGACACGAGCAGCGGGTTCACACGAGCACAGGAGATTGACATATTCGGGGAGATTGCGGGGATATCGTTTTCCCCTGATACAGAGGCTCTCTTTATTGGTGTGGCGGATCGCACATACAGTAGTCTCCTGGAGTACACCCGCGCTCACTCATACGCTTATCTTGATGCTTGCATTTAAATTCATAGAAACGGCATTGTGTTACTTGTTTGGCCGATTTCTCTTCGGCCAAGACGTGTAGTGGATGGATGGATGGTACAATACCAGATATGCACATGGAATCTGCAATAATGCCAGGTGAGCGTTGCAATTAGGCTCACTGCCTTGGACACTCGAGTCTCTGTTTAGAGCTCACAATGTCATGTTGATGATGATCAAGTTATGTATGTGAGAATTGGGCGCAAGGACATCTATACTAATAAAACCTCAGCATGCAAGTCAATCCCAAGTGTGGTCTGAAGAGTGATGAGCTTCAGAATAATCAACAGCATACAACTTTTGTTTTGAGTACATGGTAAGTAGGCATGCTACTTGGTTGAGTGCACATTGAAACAAGTACGGTAAAGTGTTTGGAGTGTGCGAAGGTCTCAGAGCTTCGATATAACATCGAAGCCGAGACTCTCAACTCATGTTACCGCACAGCCACAGTGTTATGAATTGAGAAAGCTTGCTTTCTTTCTTATCAATTGGCATCGTTCTCATTACAAATGGCATCGTTCTCATTACAAATGGCGTATTACAACATTTGCATCATCGTTCGACATAAGCTAGTGCGGACTAATAACACTAGCTATTATGTACCCTATCCAAGTGGCATTAGCAAGGCGGTTTACACTGGGGTGGGTGGTGGGAATGTTGAGTGAGCCGTTTGAAAATTGAGAAACGTGGGTGGAGGGAAATCAGCTCCAACCCACGGTTTTTGTAGTTGGAGAAGGGCGTTTAGCGCGCTTCGACGATGCCAATTGTGCAGTACAAGCAGCTTCGCTTTCACAATACACAATTTTAAAAAACACTACATGTGTGTTTAAAAATTATAATATTGAGAAAGCTTGCTTTCTTTCTTATCAATTGGCATCGTTCTCATTACAAATGGGGTCTCTGAGACATGGGCAGCGGGGGCCTCCGGTTGCGTACGAGTGCCTCTGTGTGTTGCGCCGATGACACCGCATGCGTCGAATCTTGTAGGGTACGGGAGGCTTCGATGAGGGGCTCGACGTATGGCGTAACATACATTTCCTTTGCTGTGTCGCTTCGCCATCTGCCCAGCCGTTTGAAGACTCTGTCTGGCACTCCCGTGTTGGCTGCTACTGTGGCTGCACCTTTTCGGAAAGAATGGGTGCCTAGCTGCAACTCTCCAAGGCCAACCTTTGCGAAGGCTTCCTTGCACCAGTTCCGGATCGTAGTGTATGAAGGTGGCCTAGCCTGGCCCTCGCTGGTTGAACCGTGACCGAAGACACGAATCAATGGTCCCTCTGACCGTGGGCCATAGCCAGCGAGTCGGATGAAGCGTCGGGTGCAGCGCACTGGGCAGCAGGGGTCCGCCGTTGCTGCAATGGGTATCCAAGTGCCGTGACCAGCTTGATCGGTCTTGGAGTGTGGTATGAGAATCCACATGACCTCGTCGTCGAATTGGATGTCTTGCCATTTTATGGCTACTAGGTCAGAGTATCGCAGGAATCCGGAGTACATGAGGATGGGTATCAACCCTTTCTGAAATTGCGCAGGATCGTCGGACTGCAAGTAGCTCGCGGCCATTTCCTGGACTTGTTGGATCGAGACGGGTTCCTTCAGACGAGTAGGGCGTGGGCAGTGTCGCTTTGCATAGTCACGGACTTGGGTGGTGAACGGTCCGGTTGTCGGGCATTTGCTCCCGGTCATGCGATGGGCGAAGCTGACCGCCGAGCAGGTTAGCTGCACTACGGACAGGGTGGCTTTGCGTCGGATTGCGTGTACCAGGTATAGCGCGAGGGTCATGTCGGATGCCGGGAGGAATGGAAGGTTCACTTTTGTGCAGAAGGCTCGAAACTTGGCCCAGTATGGTTCATATGTCCGGATCGTAGAATCGGCGCGGGACTGCGCGAGCATGTTGATCAGTTGGTCGTGTAACTTTGGGAGCAAATCTGAACACAAGGTGTATATATTTTGAATTAGTCAAATGCCACTCGCAGTGCAATGATTGGGCTGTGCGGTAGTCCCATGCCCGAAAAAGCAGTTGAATGGGACCCTACGTCTAGGCATTGGCTTCCGTGTGTCAGAGGGATGTGCGCGTGGATGTGTGGTGCCCAAGTGCGTGGGGAGGGTTGCAAGAGTGGCCACCAGCTTGCGCCTGGCCAGTGCGGAACTATCAGTGTGAGTGATGCATGGGTGCGTTGTGCGTGATGGAGGACGGCTGGGACCAGTTGAGGTGGGGGGAAGGCGAAGTTGTTTTCAGGTGTCCACGCGATCGAGAACGCATCAACTGCAATGGCTGCCGGGTGGGGAATCTTTGAACAGAAGCGCGGCAGTTGGGTGTTGCGGGAGTTTGCGAAAAGGTCGATGGAGTGAGGACCCCAACGACGTTCCAAGATCCGGAACCACGGCGTTTTCAGCGCGTAATCGTCGTGGTCGACCATTTTTGAAAGCTCGTCGGCGTGTGTGTTGAGCTCGCGCGGAATCCATTCAATGATCAAGCGCGTGCCAAGCGCCATGCATGTTCGGATGATGCTCTTGCATGCCGTTGTGAGGTCGGGGCTGTGAGAGCCGCCTTTGCGAAGGATGAAGAATACGCCCTGGTTGTCCACCCGCACGAGAACGTGTTTTTGCTTGATCTTGTTCGCGTACGTTTGTAGCGCCCAAAGGACGCCTTCGATCTCCCGTCGCGTGCTGGACGTTCCTCGTAGCGGCTCTGACATGGTTGCGCTAGCTTCTTCGATGCCACCCGGAAATGTGGTCAGAGTGGCGCCCCAACCATGAGAGCTGGCATCCACGTGGATTACCGCGTCGTAGCTGTTCTTGACGTGAAAAGGTGCGCCGTTGAAACGGTCGAACTCCTCGAGCCAAAATTGGAGCGCTTCTGCTGCAGATGGGGGGATAACGACGCTGCTTTTCCATGACGGTGCGTCGTCGATCACTTGTAACATAGCATGGCTGAATGCGCGAGCTGTCGCGCCAAGTGCGACACCCATCGATGCGAGCATGCCAGTGATTCTGGCCACGTGGCGGACCGGGACTGGTCGGCATGCCTTGCTTGCGCTCAGGAGGTTCCGGATGGTTGCATGTAGTGAGGCTCGTCGGTCCGGACCGATGGAGAATCGGCCGGTATCGGTCTCGAGTTCTACGCCCAGGAATCGGAGACGCTGCGATGGTGACAGTTGTGATTTCTTCGCGTTTATCACAAGGCCTGCCTCTTTAAGATCCAATATCACCCGCTGGCAAGTTGCTTGCGCGTCCTCTTTCGACTGGCAGAGAAATAAGATGTCGTCCACGTAAGGTACGACTCGGATGCCTTGTTCTCGCCAACGCCGAGCTAGTTGCTTGATGAGCTGCGTGAAAACGAATGGAGCTGTCGCGAGGCCAAATGGTAGTGAACGGAATGCGTATGTGCGCTTATCAAATTCAAAGCCAAGGAACTTCCAGCACGATGGGTGGATGTCGATGTGGTGGTAACCAGATTTGAGGTCAATGGAGAACATCCAGTCCCCAACGCGCGCAAGGTCGGCGACGCGGCTGAGCCCTTCGTACTTGAACTTGGGGATGATCAAGTTGGCGTTGACTTTCCTCAGATCAAGAATGAGCCTGCATTTGTCTTTTTGCTCGACCACGTTGAGTGGACTTATGCATGTAAGCTCCGTTGCGGCCATCGGAATTGCCGCTCCCGTCTCTATGAGTTCTTGGATGGCGGTACGTGTGAACGTGGCATGCGTGTTTGCCCCGACATGATTGCGATCGTGGAAATGTTGCGGTGGGCCGTGGCTCCATGGCAACCAGTAACCCTTGGCGATGACGGAGAGGACAAGGCTGCTGGGGCACCATGAGCTCCACCACGCAAATGTCGCGCGAAGACGACCGCGCATGTGTGTAATAGTTCTGTCTGTAACGGCAAATTCGTACGGATCGTCGTGGCATGCCGCCTCGCACCGTCGTGCTCCTGTACATTTGAGGCCAAGTGGTATAAGCTTTGAGTATTCCACGTTAAAGCATGCGTGTGCATGTACTTGTACGGGCAACCATTGATCGAAGGTGTGAAGAGAATGAACAATTGAATGAAATGTCAACGAATGTGTCGGGAATATTAACGCATGTCAACGCATGTCTCTTCTTCTCCTCGTTTCCCCTTTTTTTTTTTTTTTTTTTTCTTGCCCCGTCGTCCACTTGGTAGGACATGGTTGTGCCTGCCCTTAGTGCGTAGGGGCTGATGCCTAGGGCCATGGACACCGTTGTCCATTGTGCTTTCTCTCATTCTCTCTTTGCCAAAACCATAGGCCTTTAGGAAGGTAGTTTTTATTAAATCAACCAACACACATAGCAATGCTTTCCTAGCATGCCACCAAGTGGCCAACATATGGGACCGAGGGGTTGTTGTTCCCCTTCCCTATCCTAGGCCCAAGCCTATCCCACCCTTTACTAGGGCTGGCCTCTTGCCATCGCAAACCCCTAGGGTTGCCCACGGTTTTCGCACTCAAGAGTGCACCGTGCCTAGCGCCCAAGCGCCTAGTCTCATGGCCCGCTCCTACACCACCGGAGCGGGTCCCTGGCCTCCATGCCCGTTCCGAGGGCAGGCACTTGCCACGTGGCCCGGCTGGCCGCAGCGGAAGCATGAGCCCCGGAACCCACGGCAATTGGCCGTGGGCGGGGGGCCTCGCTTGGGTAAGAACGGCATCGGCCCGTTGTTTCCGCCGCGGTTGACACGAGCGTATCCGCTTGCCGCACGGTCCATCGCCGCCATGTCCGCGACCGCCTGCTTGAAGGGTCGAGAAGTCAGCAGGCTCTTCTGCTGGTACAGCTTAAAGCGCTTCGCCGTGCGAAAGTCGGAGGCGTCCTCCACTTGAAGCACCTCGAAACGCCCCGCGATGAGGTTGAGAGCGTGTGAGATGAGTTCGAGTCCGCCCGCCGGATCACCGCGCTGCGCCTTGTATTCGGCGTGCAGCAGGTACGCCCGCAGGTCCTCCAGTAGCTCCGCTTGCTCTCGCACGGAGTCGTTG